AAAAATGAGTATCCAGTTCCAGAAGGATCAAAATTTCAGTTAACCAATGAAGGGAAACTCATTCTCTACGATCCTCAAGGCAAGGAAATATGGACGGTTAATAATGGCGGATCCACCTGTGCAGCCATGCTTAATTCAGGAAATTTTGTGCTAATAAATGGAGATTCGAAGTATATATGGGAGAGCTTCAGAGAGCCTACTGATACAATTTTGCCAGGCCAGATCCTAGGCATGGATGGAAATCTTAATTCGCGCCAATCGGAGGCGAACTATACCAAGGGAAAATTCCAGCTCAGTTTGCAAAAAGAAGGAAATCTTGTACTCTACACTATATTTTTGCCAACTGGAGATGAAAGTAGTGCTTATTGGGCTACTGGAACTGTGAGTAAGAATGCTGATTTCCAACTTATTTTCGACGAGGCTGGTTATGTCTACTTAAAACAAGGGAACAAAAACATACGAAACATCACAAAAAATGACATGGGTTCACCACAGGAGTTCTACTACATGGCAAGAATTGATTATGATGGAGTTTTCAGGCATTATAATCATCCAAGAAAAAATTATGCTGTTGGTACCGAAGGCTGCAAGTCGTCTTGGTCTATCATTCAAAACACCCCAGAAGATATGTGCGGCGCAATAGTGGGAGGTCTTGGGAGTGGGGCATGTGGATATAATAGCTATTGTGTGAACTCAAATGGAAAGCCCCAATGCTTCTGCACGGATGGATACTCTTTTGTCGACTCATTTGATAAGAATAAAGGCTGCAAGCCAAATTTTCAATTGCCTAGTTGCCAGCAAAATGGTTGGGAATTGAACATGGATTCTATAGAGTTTAAGGAGTTGAATAACACTGACTGGCCCTTAACTGATTATGAACGTCAGACTGGATCCCAAGTAGACGAGTCTAGGTGTTAAGAATTTTGCCTTCAAGATTGTTTTTGTGCAGCTGCTATCTACAATGGGAACACTTGTTGGAAGAAAAAATTCCCCCTTTCCAATGGAAGACAATCCAAAGATTTGAGCAGGATAGCCCTCATCAAGGTCCCAAAGGGCAACATGACAAACACGTGCCCGAAAAATAAAGATCAGTCCACTTTAGTTATTATTGTATCAGTACTACTTGGTAGTTCTGTATTCCTCAATTTTCTTCTGTTGTTCACCATATTGATTTCTGTTTTCTTCATATATCGCAAGAAGATGCTAAACTTACAGTTTGATTCGACTACATTTGGGGTGAGAAGGTATACATACAAAGAACTCGAGGAAGCAACTGGAGGTTTCAAGCAGCAACTAGGCCGGGGAGCTTTTGGAACGGTCTATAAAGGTGTCACTCCATCAATTCCGAAGAGATATATTGCTGTTAAGATGCTGAATAAGGTTGAACCTGTTAGTGCGGAAACGAAGTGTTGAAGAAAAACTTGAATTTTTATTGATAGTTTTTAAGTTGCTACA